TTCACGGGTCAACCTTGGTCAAAGTCAAAGTCAACGTCCAGTCAAAGTCAAAGTCAAAGTCAACCACGAGTTGACTCAACTCGTCGAGTCATCTTCTAACTCGTCGAGTTTCCATGCTACTCAGAATCGTGATAACACGAGTCAACTGTCGAGTCCTTCCTCAGACTCGTCGAATCTGCCCTTTACAGGATCGGGAAAAATCGTCCCAACTCGTCGAGTTCCTCTATGAAACTCGTCGAGGTTCTTCAGTGTGTTAAGCCTTTCTTATGGATTAAGCCCCTGTTCTTCAGATCTAAGCTCCATACTTCACATATATACCGAAAATGTCCTTTTAAGGGTAAAGTTTCCAACTTTACCCGTTAATACCCTTTCTTAATGGATTTAGCTGAAACCCTAACTCTTTAAGACTTAGATCTTGATCCAAAAGCCATTAATACTTCAAGCTAAGGCATACAAACTGAGATCTAGACCCTAGGACACTACATGAACACGTAAAGTATCTGACTTTCTCTCCATGCATGGCCTTTTGGAGCTTAAAAGGCCCAAATGACATCCTAAAGCTTGCATGGGGCTTCAATGGCCATAAAATTTGCACCTTTATGCCATGAAAGCCCTTCAAGGCTCCAGATCTGAAAGTATACTCACTTGGGACGTTCATTTCCCAAGGATCATGCTAGTTGGACCAAACCCAATAAAAGTGATAGGAAAGAGATCTAAGTAATCATTAAGCAAGTTGAGGACTTGCTTACCAGAAAATGTTGAGATGAGATTAAAGTGAAGTTGTTGGATCTATAATCTCCTTCTTGAGTCCTCAAAGCTTCTCCTTCTTCCACAAGCTTCACACACACAAGATTTCTCTACACAAAAAAACACCAAAAAATGACTCACAAGCTCACACAATGCATTAGGGTTTTGAGATCTAGGGTTTGGGACTTGGAGGCCGAAAATGAGGCTAGCATGAGGGGATTAAGATGCTTAAATAGGGTGCAAGACCCCGAAATTAGGGTTTCACCTCTACCAGCCTACTCGTCGAGTTGAGGGCTCTCAACTCGTCGAGTAGGTTACTTAAAACCCGCGTCTCATTTGATCTCTACTCGACGAATTTGGGGCTTTCAACTCGTCGAGTTGCTCTGTAAAAATAAATAAATTATAATTAATTATATACCAGGAACCCGGCGTTACACATCAGACTACTTTTTGTTATGTCAAATAATCCAATTATGCATATTAACCAATAAATCACGATCAAGAGCAAGAACAAAGTGAGAATTCGATCACTTCTCACTATCTCATCGGTAAGTATGGAAGTATGGTTCAGATCCTTTCAGAACCAAAAAACACTCGATTCTTTACAACAAAAAAGCATCCCGAAATCACATCCACTATAAATCAAGTTCGACTAATAAAACTATTGAAGAGAAAGAAATGGATTTTTTTTTTCAGATTCTGATATCATGATATCAGAGGGCTCACAATAGCGAATGAAGGAAAAAAAAACCTCCAACGATGTCACAATAGATTTGTTTGGGGTCGACTTCATAGGGGGTTATGTTGTTCGAATGTATAAAATGCGATTAAAGAGAGAGGGAGAGAGAGATAGGTAGAGAGAGAGAGATTACCTGCGATGAAGCCCCTGTGATGAGGTGGAGAAGACGCAATGGAGAGGTTGCGGTTGAACGAGAATGAGACGATGTCTCTAGGTTTACCTGATGAAGGATAATTAGTGAGTGCAAAATGGTAATATGCTACTTTCCATGTTATGATGGAATTAATTCCATTAGAAATGTGAAGGAATGAACTTTCCTTCATTTGAAGGAAAAATATTTCATTTAGGATTCATTTTCCTTCCCTTAAAGCCGAACCAAACACAGGAATTCAAGGGAATTGGAATCATTTTCCTTTGAATTCCATTCGATTTACATTTTGTTTCGACAAAAAGTCGTTTTAAAAGATATTTTACATTAGCCAAACATCTTTTAGCAATTTTTTTACTTTTTTAAACAGTTAAAATGAAAAGTTGTTTTAAAAACAATCTCCAACATTCTAACCTGATGACTACAAACCCTAAATCAAATATTAACTTCACGCTTCCGTAGTTCTTTCTGCCGCTTCCCGCTTCTGATAAACGGTGACGCTGCCGACGAGCCGGCGACTGGCGAAGCTGCCGCGTAGAGCATTTTCACAGTCGATACGGCGACGCAGAGTTCCTCCACCATCGACCCGCGACGCTGCCATCGGTATTTCTGATTTCGTCCACCACTACCATCGGTGACAACGAGAATTGGATCGTCCAACACCGCTATCAACGATTCGGCATCCATTGGTATTTCTGATTTTGTACTGTTACCAATTTTGGTTTGTGCGTTTTTTTGTATTTCTATTTTTTGAGTTGTTGCTACTGTGTTAATTTGTTGTGCTACTGATTTCAGTATTTATGATTTCGTACTGTAAAGAAATATTAGGTAGATTTATCATCCAAGCATATTACACAGTTTTCAAGCTTGTCACGATTTGATTCCACTGGCTTGTTTATTTGAGAAATTATTGCTTCTCTTGTGAACTTGAATGCAAAGGAGGGTGCAGAGTATGTGAACCTTTTACTAAAAAGTTTTATATGATTCATAAACGATAGTTATTTTGTGAAATCTCTTAAAAAATAGGTAACGCGGTGATATAGAAGATCTCAATATAATATGGTGAGCGAATAACTTTTTGAATCTATATCTCTATTTCAAAAAAATTCAGACTCTCTAGAATTACTCTATGGACATGAGGACATGTCTACATTCTTCCCCTTTTTCAGTACATTTTGGACAAAAATAGTCCTATTAGTTTCAGTGATTTCTCGTGGACTTCCCTGTGTAGCAAGGACTTCTGTCCATGACTCTATGTGCTTCATATGCATTGCTGAATAATCTGCTGATATGCTTAAGTTATGTGCTGTTATGTCCATAGAGTAATTCTAGATTTGTAATCTGTCACATAATTCTGATTGTATGAGTTTATTTTCAGATTTTGTTCGCATAAATGGCTTTCTATTTTTCTGATTGTATGTTTGTATTATTTTCTGATTTTTATTATCTTCAGGTTTTGTTTGCATAAATGGTCACATAAATGTGTTTGCATAAATTTGTGACATAAATCAGATTTTTATTTATTTTCTGATTGTACGAGTTGTTTAGAGCTTAAATATCACATATTCACACACACGCACAGTAGAATCTTATATAGGAAAATTATTAGCTTTTATCCTTGTATTTCAGTGTATTTACCATGATTTGCTTTTGGAATTTTATCATGCAGATGTGTTTGTTTCTTTAGTTGACGCATGATGTGTTTAATTTTGCAGTGACAGCTGTCTCAGCCAGAAATGGCTACTTTGATTTCTCAAAATGCGGTTTCTAAAGACAGAGGTGAGAAGATGAAAAGAAAGAATTCTGATCTTGACGAGCCTTTACCTTTAGATGTGTTGCAAGAAACAAAAATTTCAGAAAATTTGAGCACAGTGAAGCCTAAGAAGAAAAAGAGAGAGGAGAAAGAAGCTGAAACTGAGATGAAGAAACTTGAAAACGTATTGTTTGGGTCTTTGTATCCAGTTGAGTTTGGGAAGAACATTGAAGAAGAAGATGCTTTGTTCTTTACTGATCGTTCTGCCAACAGTGCATTGTCTGTATACGAAGAGGATGCAGCAATCGTTGCCCCACGGACGCCCGTTTGGGTAGACGAAGAGGAAGCAAAAACAAACATAAACATTTCAAAAGTCAACCGTTTAAGAAAGATCCGGAAAGAAGAAGATGAGAAAATAATATCCGGATCCGAGTATGTATCAAGATTGCGGGCCCATCACATGAAGCTCAACCCGAGCACAGACTGGGCCCGGCCCGATTCACATGTTTACAACTCCGATGACAGCGATGGAGATTTTGATGGTATTCTTCAAACCACCGAAGATCTTGTTGTTTCGGGCAGGGGCAGTTCAAAACTGCTGCCCGGGTTACTCGAGTATTCAAGATTAGTTGATGCAAACGCACAGGACCCATCAAGCGGCCCGATTAATTCGGTTCAGTTCCATAGAAACGGTCAGTTACTTCTAACCGGTGGACTCGACAAAAAGCTGCGGTTTTTCAGATCGATGGAAAACGGAACACCAAAATTCAATCCATTTTTGTTGATGATTGTCCAATCAGAAAGGCGTCTTTCACGCCAGATGGCTCACAGGTTATTCTCTCCGGAAGGCGAAAGTTTTTTTACAGCTTTGACCTGGTCAAAGCGAAGATGGATAAAATCGGGCCGTTAGTGGGGCGTGAGGAGAAAAGCCTAGAAACTTTTGAAATCTCCCCGGATTCGAAAACAATCGCGTTTATTGGTAACGAAGGGTATATTCTATTGGTGTCATCCAAAAACAAAAGAACTGATAGGAACTCTTAAAATGAACGGAACTGCCCGGGCTTTATCTTTTGGGAATCACGGGCAGGAGTTGTTGAGCACGGGCGGTGACGGGCAGATCTACCATTTTGATCTGAGAAGCATGAGTTGTTTCCATAAAGGTGTTGATGAAGGGTGCTTAACGGGTACAGCTCTTGGAATGTCACCAAACGGGAACATATTTGCAGCGGGGTCCGATAGTGGGATTGTGAATGTTTACAATAAGGAGGAGTTTTTGGGGGGAAACAGAAAACCGATGAAAAGGATTGAGAATCTGACAACAAAAGTTGATTTTATCAAGTTTAATAGTGATGCGCAGATTTTGGCGATTTGTTCCGGTATGAAGAAGAACAGTATGAAGTTGGTGCATGTGCCTTCGTTTACTGTTTTTTCAAACTGGCCACCAGCAAATAAGGCGTTGCAGTATCCTCGGTGTTTGGATTTTAGTCCGGGTGGAGGGATGATGGCTTTGGGGAATGCTGCTGGTCATGTGTTGCTTTACAAGTTAAATCATTACCGACATGCATAAAGTAGCCATACACAAGCTAAATCTGTCTGGTTTTTACCTTACTGTAGCATTTTTGTTTTTACTTGATAATATTAAGTTACAGCGACATCTATATTCGCTGTGTTTATTTTTGGCTAAAATACTGTTTTGGTTACAATTTGTATTATTTATTATTATTATTATTATTTTTTTTTTCTGATGTTAGCTTATGTTGCAATTTCACAAAGAATGTGGTAAATCAGATTTAGTCTGACCTACCTGATTAATCTATTTACTACCGTTTGTTCAACTGAATGAAAATATTACAATACTGGATATTTAAAAAAATATTGAAATCTTGATATTTTAATCATAAAAATATTTCTAGATATCGACCCCCTTTACTCGGTAGCCACGCATATGACTTGCTTACCGACATTCTTGCCGGAAAAGAGGCCAACAAAGGCAGCCGGTGAAGTTTCAAGGCCATGGTTCATATTCTCTATGTAAACAATCTTTCCCTGTTTGTAGTAACCCGTAATTTCCTCCAAAAACCTGGGGTATAAATGGATAAAATCGCTCTGAAGGAAACCTTTTATTGTTATACGCTTTGATATAATACTAAACATGTTGCGAAAACTCTGCGCATCGGTTCTATTGTTTTGAGAAACCATCCCACATATGGCCACACGCCCATGGGCCCTCATGTTTGCGAGTGCTGCATCAAGCATCCCTCCTCCCACGTTATCAAAGTATATATCGATTCCTTGAGGGAAGTACCTACCATCATAGTAAATTACCAAATTACCCCTTCTTAAGTAACATACATACATATATTTAAAAAAGACCTAACATCGATCTTTTAGGAAATATGAGGAAGTCGTTACCTCATCAAAGCTGACTCAAGGTCTGATTTGTCTTTGTAGTTGAAGGCTTCATCAAACCCGAGCTTATTCTTCAAAAGTTCCACCTAATTAATGTACGTTTTTTCGGTCACAATAGCATCTAAACACTACTATCATTTTTGTACTTTATTTTTCCTATAAAATTCTCAGACTGAATATATTCTATTTTTTTTTTCTCAAAATAATTTTACACTAGTGGGTAATGATGTCTGGCTGGATGAATTGTTGTACTCATAAGTTGTGTTTCTTTTCTAAACCGAATAAACCGTCTGAACAAGAGTAAACGACCATTTTACCCTTGTATTCCAAAAAACAAATTTCATTTTATTCTTCAATTTTTTGCTCACAATAGCATCTAAATACTATCATTTTTTTACTTTATTTTTTCCTATAAAACTCTGTGACCAAATATATCCTATTTTTTTCTCATTAAGTTGTATATGGGTAAAACAGTTTTAATGGGTAATGATGTTTGGCTGGATAAATTGTTGTTGAATATATATATTCATTGTATTTGTCAATTTTAACTTGAGAAGAGTTAGGAAGGGAAAAAGAACGGAAAATAGGTAAAGAGTTAATGTCTTGATACGTTAAGCCATGTTTTTTAGCTTAACCCATCAAGTCATTATGTCCAGGTTAAGTAAAAACAAAACAGTCATAAGAGAGAGGGATTCCATCATCTTATTTACTTAATGAGCTTAACCATTAAGCTCATTAAGTAAATAAGAAACAGGTAATATGTACTTTCTGGCTTGTTCCAGCGCTTCCAACCACATAGCATCCATGTAACTTAGCGAGCTGTCCAACAAGCTGTCCAACAGCTCCAGATGCTGCAGATACATAAACATAGTCTCCTTTTTTAGGAGCACAAACCTCGTAAAACCCAACATAAGCTGTAAATCCTGGCATGCCTGCATAATATTATATTTTTATATCAGGATTCTGTAACCACTAAATTAAATTCTACTACAATTTGGTCAAATTCCAGTTGTTAGATAAATTAAAGAGATTCTTGAAAATATGCTGTTAATTACCAAGAAGACCAACATGGTAAGAGAGAGGGATTCCATCATCTTGTTGAATTCTCCTCAGTTCATTAGTCTTCTTGATTAAAGTGTATTCTTCCCAATTTGTATATCCTGTTACCAAGTCCCCTCTTTTGAAATTTGGGTCATCAGAATCCAACACTTTTGACACTCCTAACCCCTCTATTGCCTACAACATATGTAATTATGTCATTTAATAGTTGATTTTGTTAACATAAACTCTTCCTACACTACACACAAGTTTCCTCATTAAAGTCAGAAAAGCTAGGTAAATTATTTAATTTATGGTATTATACTGAAATTCCTTTTAGGGGCAAATGATTAACCCTTTTCTTTTAAGGGGGTAAAACTATTTAGTTTACAAATTGGTAAATTCATTATTTATAGATTCAATTTTATGTAAAAAATCAACGATTGATTTTCACCAAATCATTTGGAATCGATAAAGCATATTCCTCATAAATCATAATCATTCAAAAGTGAACGATTGATATTCACTATTTTGGAGGCGTTTTGGTGTACTCGTAATGACTAAAGAGACATAATTAAGATGCCTGATTGCAGAGGCCGGCGAAGGACTACCCGCGATGCAATAAAGTGTTGTACCATAATCAAACAAGAAGCAAGCATGAAAATGAAAGAAAGAAGAAGAAATCTTACAGATCCAGGAGAGAAGGGAGGAATATAGGAGCGATGGAAATCGCGCATACGGCCGCGCATGTAAGGATCGCATGAGAAGTAGAGGTTCTTAACTAAAACGGCATTCGATCCCTTCGGTGCTTCCAATTTGATCGGATTTCCAAGCTTCAATTCCATGTCGGTTTCTTTTACAGATTCATTCGTGTATCTTTTGAATATGATCTGCTTGTTTTCCATTGTTTTTCCAACTAAATCTATTTCCATGATCGCTCTGTGTGTTGCTCCAGTTGTCTATTCTCGTTGCTATTATTCAGTTCAGTTCAGTACGGTTTGGTTTGGTGACTGGTGAGGGTACCCTTATTTATGGCGGGAGATTGGACACCGTGTTAAACATCTCCACCCACAGAGGTTTGCCAAAAACCCGGCATTAACGTCTCGCCCGCATCTATCGCGTAATATCACTATATATTTAAAATCTTTATAAATATATGGTTTTTAAATACTTCTAGCACGTACTACAATAATATATTTAGAATCTTTATAAATATATTATAATAATAAATATATTATAATAAGTTTATATAAATATTGTTTGTTATAATAATTTTTTTGGAATAAAAATTTTCTTTAATATTTATAAATAATTAAAAATTATAATAATAAATATATTATAATAAGTTTATATAAATATTGTTTGTTATAATTTATATGATAATATAAATATCTTTTAAAATTTTATAATCTCAATTGTTTCAATAATCTCTACTTGCAGGGTATTCGTGAATAAAATTAAATATAATATATATTTTAATAATATTTATAGTTGTTGTGATTAATTAATTTCAAAAAGTTTATTTGCTTAAGATTTTGATTTCTATCGTTATAATTATTTAAAACATCAACCATTATTTTTGTTTTTAAAGATAACAATATAATTTTTGTATAATATACTACTTTTAACTATTGTTGTTATAAGTTATTTAAAATAATATATTTGAAAACTCTTAATTATTTTAATTTGAAAATTTAACTTTTTTAAATTTATCTGATGAATATTGTTAGTTTATTTGATTGTAACTATTTAAAACAACAAATATTGTTTTTGTTTTTAAACATTAACATTATAATTTATATATAATATTACTTTTAACTATTCTCATTGTAAGTTATTTTTAAGCTATTTATTTGAAAATTCTTAATGATTATAAAAAATAGTATGATGTTTTTTTGATTAATTTAGGATTATAATTTCGGTTGAACACTATAATTTTTAACTTTTAACTATTTATAAAAAGTATCTCGATTTTTTTTAAGTTTAACTAAAATTTTGATTTAAGTTAACTTAACATATTTATAACTAAAATAAGGTTGTCCTACAATATAAATCCGCAACCAATTCCTGGTTCATTTTCAACCAATTCCTGGTTCTTTTATCTACAGAATTGTTATTGATGAGATTTCAACCAATTCATGTTATTGAAAAAGTTTGCTCAGAAAATCCTATAGACCCAATAAAGTCTAAACGATGGATGAAAGTAAACATAAAATTAATCGACCCGACCACTATCATCACAATTAAACCTATGAAATACAGTCCTCAAGATGTCGAATAATTTAGTAAACAAATCAAATAACTACTTGAAATAAAGGTCATTATTCCAAGTAAATCTCCTCACAGATCTCTCGCTTTCCTTGTCGAAACTGATGCAGAAATAAGAAGGGGAAAGAAAAGAATGGTAGCTAACTACAAAGCTATTAACAAAGCAACTATAGGTGACAGCCATAATCTCCCTAATAAAGATGGACTTCTCACCCTTATTAGAGGAAAAACAATATTCGGTTCTTTCGACTGTAAATCTGACTTTTGACAAGTTTTACTTGACGCTGAATCACAACTCTTAACAGCTTTCACATGTCCCTAAGGACATTACCAATGGACTGCTGTATCTTTCGGTCTAAAACAAGCTTCATCCATATTTCAAAGACATATGCAAAATGCATTCAGATCTTTTGAAATTTTTTTTTACGTTTATGTAGATGATATCCTCATATTCAGCAACAATGAAAATGAACATTTGTTACATGTAGCAGCTGTTCTAAAAAAATGTGATCTTCTTGGAATCATTCTTTCCAAAAAGAAAGCACAACTTTTTAAAAATAAAATAATTTTTTTTGGGCTAGAAATAGAACAAGGAAGTCATCGTCTTCAAAATCATATTTTGGAAAATATTCATAAATTTCCTAATAAAATTGAAGATAAAAAACAGTTACAAAGATTTTTAGGAATTTTAACATATGCTTCAGACTACATTCCTAAACTTACAAAAATAAGAAGCCCTTTACAATGCAAACTTAAGAAAGATGTCCTTTGGTCATGGTCTGAAGATGAATCTAGCTATATGGCAAAAATAAAAAAGAACCTCAAAAAATTTCCGCATCTATATCGTCCTAATATAGATGATAAATTAATTATCAAAACTGATGCTTCATATAATTATAGGGGAAAAAATCCTTAAAGTAATAAATTCTAAGTATCAATCCAAAGAATTAATTTGCAGATACACCTCAGGATCTTTTAAGGATGCTGAAAGAAATTACCATTCTAACGAAAAAGAATATATTGTCGTTAAAAGGGTAATTGAAAAGTTTTCAATCTATTTAACACCTGTAAATTTTACAGTAAGAACAGATAAAAAAAACTTTGCTTATTTTTTAAGAAATAACATTTCTTGAGATAACAAACAAGGTCGATTAGTTCAATGGCAAATGTGGTTTTCCAGATATAGCTTTGAAGTAGAGCACATTAAAGGAGAAAAGAATATCTTTGCAGACTTCATAACTCGAGAATTCCAACAGAAAAACTAATCAGGTTTGATATTCTTTTCATGCAGGAATCAAAGCCATTTAGCGTTATACTTTGGTGGTCTAACGACCCACGAGGTTTTAACCTCAGTCCATAATTTGGACTACAGGTACATAGCCTTTCTCAAATGGAGAAAGAACAAGAGCTTATGCTCAAACAAGCTCTTATTGAGCAAGAACTGGAATTCGTCAGAAACCAATTAAAAATTGTAAGACTATTTATGTATGAACATCAAAAGGAACTTTATTCTCCTTCCTCTCCTATTAGTCAAGAAGAAAATGTAAGTGTTCAAAAGAACACCGAACAACAAGAGGTCAATGTTTCACCTCCTTTAAAAAGAAAAGAAATGTCTAGTCCTAAGCAAACGGATCCGGGTAAAGATTCAACAAATTCGTTGAAGGTTGTGGATTTACCAAAAATCCAGACATGAGTACAAACTTCAATAACGTTGGTTACTCCCTTAGACTTTAATCTAAGACCCAACGGGGGAATTCAAATCCCAAAAACTGAAGGTTCATCTTCAGGATCAGGATCACCTGATAAGGGAATTCAAATCCCAAAGGAATTGTTACAAATTCCTAATAAAAATTCAAAACCATACCACGTTGTATTCAATGGACCCAACGCTGGTATATTTGAAGACTGGAATATCACCAAAAAGGCAACTGAAGGAATTAAAAATATTAAAGGCAAAAAGTTTAATAACTTTCTTGAAGCCAAGATAACTGCAGATCAATACACAAGATCTGAAAGGTGTTCAGAACTACAACTTATCACTGAAGCAGAAACCTTAAGGCCTAACACATTCAAGTTAGCCTTAAATTCTACCAAAAGTTCTAAAACCATTCTTGGAAGCCTTCCAAGAAGAACTCCCAAGATTAATGAAGAAGGCACACCTGACCTCCGAATAGAAATTAAGATAAAGGACTTCAAGTATTGTTACAGGTATGCTCGAAGTGCAACAGAAGAAAATTTTGTAGAAGAAAAATTCTCCACCATTGACGGGAAAAATTTAAGCGACTACACTATCTACAAAAATGCCAACTATTTACAAGTGTATGAAGCATTTCAACTAGGATTGGTAAAAACAATCTATCCTAGTCAAAATCTGCAGGAAATAAAGATTTTCTCTAAAAGCTTTACAAAAGCAATAAAAACTTTCAGAACAAGATGCTACATAAATGATCGATATATTTTTCTAAAATTTAACAGTAGCACTCCATACTGGAATGACAATGATGAAATAAAATACCATCCTCATCATTTAGTACAGATAAGCATTTGCAAGCAAGAAACCTATCTGGCCAGCAAAGCCATGGAAGAAAAGCTTGAAAGAACTTATATTCTCCAGCTAGCAAAATCTAGAATTGAAATCTTTATCAACAAGGTTTTCAGTTTTTCAGCAGATGACAAGATCTTCATCAATGGATATGATGCCAATGAGAAGACCTTAATCTACCGCAAATACAACAAAGAGATTTCTCCGGCCGATGAACAATTGTTCTTAGCCTTCCAAAACTCCCTGCTAAAGTCAGACTTAATCGGCGAACACGTGGCAGACATCTGTAAGACGCTCCACAAAATCACTAATAGATACAACTGTCAAAGATGCTCAACCATCAAGGTGGCCTCCACTACTGAAAATAATAATCGCAATGCTATTATTAAAGAAGATTCCTCGACAACTACCAAATAAGAGAGGACCCTCAATGATAAACCACTACACAATAATGTAGTTAGTGGATGATTTGGTCAGCAGTGACCTAAAACACTTGTATCAGATCCTCTCTATGATTCTATAAATAGAGAGTTATGCTTTCATTTGTAGGCATAGTGAAAATACGAGACCCTTAAAAATAACCTTCAGGTTTTAGTTCGTTTATAAATAAGAGAAGTTTTCTTAATCCATCTTTTGTGCAACTATCTATATTTCTAAAGTCTGAAGTCTTATTCGTCATAATGATCTAGTACTAACAAGTATCGCTAGTCAGAAGGACGTAGGGAAGAAGGAAAGATCGACACCAAGATTGACGAAGAAATCATAGAGCCTCAAACATGAACAAGGTATGAAAACTATCTTTTAATTTATAACAAAACTATCTCGTTACAGTTTTTCAATTTAAAAAAATATAAACTCTATAATAAATTATCTTTTATAAAAAGCAAAAAATCTTATAACAACTCAAATGAGTAGTAATAAAGTATTAGCTAATCAGGAACCTAATAAGTTCTTGATTTCTCAAATAAAAGATTGTAGAATTGCTATTAAACAACATCAAAGAAATTTAAATTATATTAACTAATAAATTTATTTAATAGATTTAACGCTACAAACGTCTCTATGAGATGATTTTAGAAGGAAAATAAATGCTAAAAGATCCAGATTTACACACATTCGTGTGCAAAATTCCATAAAAAAAAAAGTCTTTTGTCTAACTAAAATTATTTAACTGAGCCTTGTTATGGATTTATCCTTAAATGAACCAGGTAGAGGAGATTCTGAAGAACAACCTTCAGATCAGACGTTAAGCTTTGTTGAAAATGAAGATGGTTTTCAAGGAAGCCTAATGATTAAACAAGAACTTCTTTCAAAAATTAAGAAAACAGATCTTAAAATAAAGAAAGAAAATATATTCCGAAGCGTTCCCTCAAGATTTAATATTCTGAATACGTTAAAAAGAAAAAACGAAATATTTTACTTCGTTAGTACAAAAGAAAATGTTTGTCGACATAAAAGACACTACAGGATATGTTTATCTACCACTATTAACCAAAGAACAGATAAACAGTAACCTAAACGCTATTCCCACATAAATAAGATCTAAAATTAGAATGGTCCACATCAGAGCAGTAAAAGTTTTAATCAAATCTCAATTTCAAGAAGGAATTAATTCTCCAATAAAAATGGCCTTGATTGATGATAGAATCAATCATCGACCAGATTGTATTCTTGGTGCAGCCAAAGGAAATGTAGCTTACCAAAAATTCATGTTTTCAGTTTATCCTAAATTTGCATTAGATCTGAAATCAGCAAACTTAAATAAGGTTTTATCTTTTATTCATCACTTTGAAAGAAGTGATCTCATGAATCAAGGAGATAAACCCTTCACAATAACCTACCTCATAGGATATGCATTAACAAATAGTCATCATAGCATAGACTATAAAAAAGAAGAATACATAGAACTTGGAGATTTATTCTCGGAAATAGGACATTTCAAAGATAAACAATTTTGTGACGTAGATCCTCAAGATAGCTCTTGGGATTTAAACTTAGCCAGAAACAAAAAGGCTTTAGGAGAAAAGCTACCACCTAGAATCTCAATAGATTCTCTTCATATAGGTGAAATATCTAAATCTCTAGAACCCACTCCAAGAGATATACTCAAAAGCATAAGAAGTATGTCTTCTAGAGTTGATAATTTAAATTAAACGATCAACCAACTAAGCGAAGTAATAAATGAGTAAGATGGACCTTCGTCATATTTACAAAAAGGGTAAATCATTGAGACTTAAAAATCTTGATGATCCTACTCAGAAAAAAGAATATGTTTTTTCTTCTTCAGGAAAAACAGGCGTTCAAACCTTAACTAACCTTTGTAACAATATAAATCAGATTGTCGCAAGATGCTGGTTAAATACACTCAAAATAAATCACTATTTTGGAATTCAAAAAGATATTTCTAAAGATATATCAAAAAATAATAAACCTTTCAATCAATTTAAGAAAGATTTAAGTCTTGCCCTTAAAAATGGATGAAAATTTGATAACAATCACTTTGAATTTTTTTTACTCAATTAGAAAAAATGAACAACATAATAGAACATAACTCAAAACTACTAGAAACTTTTAATAAAATTTTCTAAAAACTTTGATGATCTACTAAAAGAAGTTGCCCATAAAGCTGTTCTTACAGACCAAATGAAAGATTTTAATCTTAGATTAAAAGAAGTGCAAAATCAAATGAAACAGCTTATGGGATGACATCTATGGTTGACATCAAGGAATCACTTAATCAATTAAATGAAAAGGTTGAAAAACTATCTGAAAAGATTGATCAAATGATTAACCAAGACTTAGTAACTACAAACTAGAAGCCATCGCTACTAAAATTATTAATGGAATGCAAAAAGAACTTCAAAAATGTTCTTGCAACAACGAAATTATTGAAATAATAAATAAAACTACTACAGTTTTAGATCCTAAAACTGAAGATAAAAAACCATTCACTGGTAAGTACTCATACCCTAATTATAATGTAGGAAATGAAGAACTAGGATCATCAAGGAATCCAAGTTCTATGTCATGGCCTAAAGACTACTTTAAGTCAACATGATATACTATTTATCTAGAGTAGAAAAATTCTTCTGGGATAACTATGAAGATGAAGAATTAATAATCAATGGATCAAATGTCTCGATTCTTGATCAAGCTCTTAGGTTACTAGATCTTGCTGAATCTAAAGGAAAGGATACAGTAAACTTAGAAATCTCTACATCTGACGAACTTAAACAACTTTTCCACTTTGATGAAACGATTAACGTCATAGAAGAAACATCTGACAAAGAAACTTCTGTATATATTTCAGAAGAAGAAGTAGAATCTCTTTCTTCTGATATAGAGCCTAACTTCGGGATGAATAAGACCGAACAACATTTTGATCATCCTGGAGAATCTTCTTTTCAAGGTGCTAGAAGAAAAACACCTAAAACTGAACAAGGTCATAGAACTGGCTCTATGCCAGATCTTCCCACTTGAAATCCAAACCAGTTTGGGACAAACGTTCTCAATATTGACAACATTGAAACAAATAGAAAAGAAGTTATCGACAGATGGACTTCAGAAATATTTTCCCGGTTTAAACCGTCTACTATTTTTATGTTTTGAAAATCTTTTGTTGTTCTTTTTTGAATATTTATTAAATGATTTTTTTGAAGAATTTTTTGTTTTATGAGTAATTTTGCATCCATACTCTAAGGGTTTTTCTTTTGTTAAATGATTACAACAACTGAAAGATTTTATGGACCCAAATAAGAGAGATAAACCGTTTAATATTATATTGAAAATAATAATTTAATTATTTTGCATCAAATCATAAATTATACAAAAATTGTAACTTTAAAATGACAATTGCTCACATACGATAACATATCTAAAATAATAAGTTAACTATAATATGTTAAAAAGTTAAAGTCATAATTTTATAAATAGAAGTAAAATATGATATTTTAATATTTAGTTTAGTTAATTGTGATTAGAATTTAGTTTTTGTATTAGTTTAACATTATTAACCAATTTATAATAATAATTAGAGAGAAATTAAAAAGTCATGGAGGTTTCAAATGCATGTGGTGCAAATAAAAAATACTTCTTTTATAAGTATACTAGACGAATACCCGCGCGTTGGGCAGAATACAACAATATATTTGAAATCTTTACAAATATAGTTTTTCTAAATATATCAATGTCGTTGTTGTTACTTCTTATATAATAAATCTTTTAATAAGTTTATATAAACATTGTTTCTTTTAAATTATATGATAATATAGATATCTTTTAAAATTTTATAATCTCAATTGTGTCAATAACCTTTACATGTAGGTTACTCATGAATAAAATTAAATATAATATATTGTTTAATGATATTTATAGTTGTTGTTGTGATTAATTAATTTTGAAAAGCTTATATGCTTAAGATTTTAATTTATATCATTGTAATTATTTAAAAACATCATACATTGTTTTTGTTTTTAAAGGTAACAATATAATTTTTGTATATAATGTTACTTTTAACTATTGTTGTTATAAGTTATTTGAAATAATGTATTTGGAACCTCTTAATTATTTTAATTTGGTTTCAGAATTTATCTTTTTAAAAGTTTATTTGATGAATAGTTAGTTTCTTTGATTGTAACTACTTAAAACAACAAACATTTTTTTTGTTTTAAAGATAACATTATAATTTTTTTATATAATATTACTTTTAACTATTCTTATTGTAAGTTGTTTTTAAGCTTACTTATTTGAAAATTTTTAATGATTATAAAAAATAGTTTCGTGGATTTTTTTTTTTTTTTGCTAATTTATGGTTACAATTTAGGTTTAACACTATGATTTATAACTTTAATATTTATCAAATAGTCTCTCGATTTTTTTAAAGTTTAACTGAAATTTTAATTTAAGTTAACCGTTTAACACTATATTGAAATTAATAATTTAACTATTTTGCATAAAATAATTGTGACTTTAAAACGAAAATTGCTCATACACGACAACATATTTAAACTAATAAGTTTACTATAATATATTAAAAAGTTAAAGTCATAATTTTATAAATAGAAGTAAACTATGAAATTTTAATATTGTAGTTTAGTTAACTTATGATTAAAATTTAGTTTTTATATTAATTTAACATTATTAACCAATTTAAAATAATTATTAGAAAAAAAATTGAAAAGCCATGGAGTTTTCAAATGCATGTGGTTCAAGTAAAAATGCCTCTTTTATAATTATATTAGACGAATGTCCGCGCGTTGCGCAGAAACACTTATATAGTTGAAATCTTTACAAATATATGTTTTTTTTAAACATAACAATAACGTTGTTGTTAAATTTGATATAATAATTAGTATATTAAATTGATATAATATATTGATTATTTTAAATTATATGATAATATATACATCTATTATAAC